TTTAAACAACTCTACATTTATAGTTTAGTTACTGTGGTACATCTAATCACAAAGAAAAATTACTTGTAAACAAAAGCCCAGTTGATATAGCAACACAATCAAGATAATTATGTATATGTATATAAACTGGATTAATAATAAAAGTGGAAAATTGCATTAATACTTAAGCTTGACATGCAACGCTCATGAGGCGTATTCTGCTGATTATTATTATTTATAGTCGCTTGACATTTTTTCATACACAAATGTAATGTGCTGCCTGATACCACAGAAGCACTCGTTATAATGACAAATATATTTTAATTAATTAGAGATAGAGACCATTACAAATGCATGAAAACATCCACTTGATCTATGAGCTTAAGTTTTATCTTAGATACAGACTATTGACATTTTTGCATCCCTGTACAGATTTTAAACTCCTTCCTTTTTGCTAGAAATATTTAAAAGGGGTGTTCTACCTAGCAAAGGATCATATCATTTCACTTCTATAAATGTATATAATCCTGACAGTGTGACATTGCTTTTATTCATCTGTATGAAGTATATGCTGACAAGTAACCAAGGTTATTTGTCAGCAATACTTCATACCTTGAATAGGTTACTTGCATTGTATAAACCTTTCGAGTTGCTTCATTCTAAAGTGGTTGTATCCCTTCTCCTTTAAGAGGTTCAAGTTTATATGAGTTATGTTTGATGATACAAAGAGGGATCTTATAAGATAGATATGTAGTAAAGAATCATGTATCCCTACAGTTCTTCTTGTGTTTTAATCCAATCAATATTATCTACAATCCTGACAAATCAATATTGCTTACAGTGTGTTGAATTTAATAACCTAATGTTGCAAAGTGTATAAACATTCTGGGCAGCCTTTCTTAAAGGAGAAAACAGTAGATTTTGAACATTGTTTAAAGATATTTTTTCATTGTAAATTTCCTCACTAATCAAAAAAGCAAATTTATATTCCACTCAATATCACTCCTAGAATTATAGTTTCTTTTAAGTATTGATATAATTGTTAAGGGTCATAGGTCAACAAATGCGCTTCTGAAGCCCAATATACTCCGTATCACAATCAAAACACTAATCATCTAACACAGTGTTTCTCAACTACGGCGATATCGCCCCCATGTGGGAGTTTTTCCATGTTCAGGGGGCGATTAGCAACAATTTATATTTTGGGAGGCAAAAAACAAATAGTAAAACATTATATTAAGAATAATTAGATATTTTATTCGTTATATCGTACAATAATTAAACAAATAACATTACACTAGTCACTAGTCTATTCAATGCAGTACGAATTTGGCGTTAGCCTTGTCCCTCGGCATCAGAATTTTGTAGTGAAGGGGGCGATACTATGTAACGGTTTTATTGAAGGGGGCAGCGATTCATTAGAGGTTGAGAAACACTGATCTAACAGCACTGAGTTTACACTGGTATCTCAGAGATCCAGCTCGTCCTTATCATTCATTAAAAGTGTAAAGACCACATATTGGTATTTCAGTCATATAGATTATGCAGGGGCAACCTCCTATGGTGTTTGGGAGCATCTTTAGATGGTTAAGAAAGATTACTTTGCACCACTTCATCAGATCATAGGTCATTTTATCAAAGATGACCTATGACTCCTCTGAAGGTAATAAAATTGCATCACAGGAAAGCATAAAAAAAGCTATTTAAATTATTTGAGTAATTTTTAACGGCAAAAATAATTATTGATGTTTCTTTCTAGAGAAAATGTTCATTTTCTGTGGACAGACAATCCGATAAGCAAAGCAAAGATAAACATCTGATAAATTTTAAAATATAATAAAGTTCATCCCACTATCATAAAACCTTTAACTTTAATTTAATAAAGTTAAAAGCTTCAAACAAATAAACACAAAGGTTTGTTTAACTTGATATTGATCCATAACATCCTAAACTTGCAATACATTTTTATATAAATAAATAACTTTAAACAGATGATTTAGATAAATACTGAAGGAAAACATGGACATAAACCCACTCCAGCAACTTTTAAATGTAGATTTTTAAAATAAATAATAATAATTTTTTAATCATCCATTTAAATGGGTCAAGTTTTGTTTATTGAATTCAATACTTTGGTATATTAAGTAACTATAGTTACTGTTAAATTGCTTGTTTATCACCAACGCTTACTGATAATGCTTAAACTATCTAACATCTGACAGTATTTTTATTAATATTACGACATTATCACCCCGCATAAAATGAATTTTACTTGAAGCATATCTTCAAGTGTTATCAATAAGCATCAGTGATAAACGTGCAATCTAACTGAAATTATAGTCACATAATACAGCCTAAAATATTGTACTCGAACTTAATATTAAGACCAATTATATGAATTAATTAACTTAATTAAACTTAAATCAGTATGACAATAATGCAGCAATATGTTTATGCTTGTTAGATTTCAATTTGTGTGTGATACAAACATTAAACTTAAAGAAATACATACAAAATCAAATTTATCAATCATAAGACTTTACTTTAACACTATTTTAAGGCTAATTTAATTAATCGACCATCCAAATTTGATGTAAAAGTAGGTGATGTGCCTTCAAGACAAATTATTATAATTGATTAATTAAATTAACCTTAAAATAACCTTAAAATAATGTGGCGATTTAGTCTTATATAAATATCATTTTGCATAATATAAAATATATGAATAAGGCTAAAACAAAACATTTTCAAGGCTAATTTAATAAATATAAGTAGTCCTGCCTCTTAACCAAGCTCCGACGGTTAATTTAATTAGCCTTAATATAGCCTTAAAGGTTTGTGTTTGGTTTTAGTTATAGAATTTAGTTACACCTACGTAATTTATTGCTAAATTTTCCCAATAAATGTCATCACCTTCGGACAGACTTATCTCGATCTACGAAGTTAAGCAACACCAAAACTTATTGCTAAATCATCCAGAAAAATGTGTTGTGGACAATGTTATTGCTAATTATTTGAAATATTTAATAATTTAAAGCTCAAAATTCCCAATTAGTTCGGGTAAGATGATGATAAAAGCAATGGCGCATAAATATCGTAAACAGTTTCGGCAATTACAATCAACCAATCTTTACCGTTGTCTAGTTTTTATGCTGTTAGAAGATCAGAGTTTGCGCGCAAGCAAATTTTATATAAACGATACTTTGCCGACGCTACTCAAGGAGCGCTCTTACATTCTAATCATTCTAAATCCTAAAATCGTAGAGGAATACAAGTTTTTATTCCATATACTCTAATATTAGGTCAAGGTCTAATAAGATTATTACAGGTTTAGTTCCGATTTGCAACTGCCTGCGAGAGACGATCCAGTTACATTCTCACAGAATGACTTAATATCTATCGAATAAGTGTATAATTCTATATAGGAAAGAATTAACCAGAGTATAAGACCGCAACTACCCATTCAAGAATCATGGAATCTAGGACAGTAAAGAATTATATAGAATATTCATTAATCTAAGTCCTATAAACTTGCAAAATAAATAAAAAAATAGAATTATAAGCAAATTTTACATTAAATAAATGATTTAACAAGGTTTTATATACTTTAATGGCATTAAAATAATAATTTAAAGTGATTTTTATGGAATTAAATATAATTAAATTTTAAATTTAGTAAAATCTGTTTAAATTTCTATAGTTTTGTTAGCATCATAGTGTATAAGCCGCTATTATTCTAACAAAATGGTGAAGAAAAAAGACAGTGTGTTACATAAAAAGGCAGATTTTTAACCTTTAAATTTAATAAAAATCTGTAAAATCCAATATTCGAGTATGAATAATAGCATTTAAACTGTGTATAACCTATAAATGTTGTGATTCATACGCAATGCATTTGTTTTAAATAAAGTTTACGCAACCAATCTGTTGTTGTTTACGGGTACAAAACACACGATTAAACCTTAAATTTACCAAATAATATCATAATTAATAGATATTAATAAATTAAATTTAATGAAACATGTTCAAGTCTCTATTTTGTCTGGATCTTAGAATTTAAACTATGAATTAACAGTTTCAAATAGAATTTTATGCAATTTTAATTTTTTTTATGTAATTGACTTTATAAACTTGCTGAATAACATCAAAATTAATTGTTTTAACAAGTTTTTTTTGGATTATCGAACAGAAAACCTGTTTCAACTTCCATACACTGTTTTTGGGATGCTCCGTCTTAAATACTGTTTTACGCAATCAATTTAGTGTATTTAAGTGAATATATTTAATGAATTATATTCCAAATCTCTACATTTTGATCAGGATTAAAGCATTTAAACTACGAGTTAATGGTTTAAAATATAGTAAAATTGTATAAAATTCTATTTTTTACGTAAATAAGCGCAGAGACTTGCTAAATAACAAAAATTTGACTTAAATCACAACATTTTTGTTAGAATTAGAAGCAATCTTAAATGGAACTTTAAATAAAATGTACTAAACTGCATAACGACTTAATAGTACAGCATAAATGCTTTAATCCGTACAAAAATATGGAAATTTAAGCTGAATTTCTGTTGAATAATCCAAAATAACTTGTTAAATCAGTTAATTTTGATGTTATTTAGCAAGTAATGCACTTGATTAAGCGAGTTTATTACATTTTTAAAAATTTAATTAAGTGAATAACTTGCTAAACAACATCAAAATTAACTGATTTAACAAGTTATTTTGGATTATTCAACAGAAATTCAGCTTAAATCCCCATATTGTTGTATGGATTATAGCATTTATGCTGTAAACAAGTGATACTTTATGTAACCAATATTTAAAAAAAAAATTAATCAATTACATATGTAATTGATTAATTTCTTTTGGAACACGTGGAAATTGTTATATAAGCAATAAATGTGTAGTTTTACTCGTAATAAACGAAGAAATGAGCCATTTTAATGCCATTATATGAAACATTGTTTACAGTGAAGGGTCCTACAGAAAGGAGTTAAAATATAGTTTTTACTCACCTGAATTGCTGTCTACCATCTTTTAGTCGCTTTATAGTCACGTAATCGATCTAAATAACGATCATGGAGATGCGAAAAACGTTTAAAAAAAAATAAAGGGGGAAAAAATTAAAGTGTAAGACCTCGTTAACTAGGACAAGACGAAGTCGATGTTTCTAGGACTGATCCAGTAACAGAGTCAGACGGCAAGCTTGCCAACTTCCGCTCGTGACGTCACTCCAATAATTAGGACACGTGTAATTTGAAAACTTTTATAAAACTTCTACAGAAATTATTTATTTAGATTAGATTAGAATTATTAATAAATTAATGAAGTGATAAAATTTAACCATTTTGTTTTATAAATATATTAAAGTAATTTAATTCTTATCGTTTCAATACTACGGGGCGCTTCTCGTGTCCGATTTTATAGTCGCGACGTTAGAGTGACGTAATTTGTTTTAACCAATCAACAATTACGATAGATTTAGTTAATTTTTTTTTATTTTTTATTTTTTTCTGAATATCGTGTACATGATTTATTTAATTTTTTTTTATAAATAGAGATGGGCGCCGATTAACGAGTTAGAATATTCTACATAGAGTGGATGAAGCCACGTTATGTTTAAAAAGTATTGAATACACTTCCGCCATTTTATTTTTAGTCAAGGTGCGTATCATCTGTTTGTTGTGTAAAGGCAATGAGTTAGAATATTCTAAATCATTGTGTAAAAGCGTGTGTGAGATTACAGGGGTCGTTACTATATTCTAATAAAGGATTTGGCCCGTCGAGTCGTCTAGGATAAAGATTAAAGGTTATTTAAAATAGAGGATCCTGATCAGCGACGAATTTACTTCGAATTAACGTTCATACGGCGGGATGGAGGTTCGGAGAGGAGGATGACGGAAGATCTAGGAGGGAACTATGAGTTAAGGATCTTGAAGAGCGAAAGATTTGGGTTTTGGAGTCGAGGGAAATCTTCTGATCGGAGGAATTTCGCCCGTTTTGTATATATTTTAATTTTAATCAATAAAATCGAAGGTTTTTGCTTACTTAAACGGGTTGTTCGGGGATGTGTAGACGAGGTGTACAGCCAGATGGATGTCAAACTTGAGAGATAAGGGTTGTGAGAAGGAAGTTTATTTTCCTTTCTGTCTTAAAAGTGACAATGCATTTACTTCTCACACTAATTTATTAACAAAATTGAAAAGAAAAATATTACTTTCTCATGTAGTAAAAATTATATCGCAGTTTTCTCCATCGGAAGATGAAGGAAATGATGTAGGGTCTCCGCTATAAGAGAGATTCTCGATCTGAAATTAACACAAATTTAAATCGATGTATTTAATTCCGTGTTTAATTAAATGAATTGGATAATTTATGTTTTAATTCTCACAGTATATTTGTTATTATAATTTACAAGTTTCTTTTTTATTATATTTAAATAACAGCCAAGAAAATAACCTAACTCGTTGCTGGATCGTTTTTTTTTTCACAAACTGATAGATTTAAAATATTGTAATGTTTAAGTCTTTTTTTTAAGAAAACTATGTTAATAATTCATAACATATTTAATGAAATTAATCCTAAACATTTATATAAATGACATAACGAACAAAAGGTTAATTCATGTTAATTTAGTTTTGTTATCCAGCATGATTCATATAATGCACAATTTGTACACATCCTAATGGTGCAGTTTCTGTATATCAGTCTGTTGCACTTACTGACATGTTTTCTTTATCTATTTTTGATGGGTAAATGCAACACTTCTACCATTCCTCACAATTTTTAACTCCTTCTTATCTCTTGGAAGAATTTTAATTTCAACAATGTGGTTCATCGCTTGACAAAGGTCAATATATAGTTTTTCATTGTAAATGGAGCCTATTCTCAGAGAAGAGACGGGATAGAGCTTTGTTCCATACTCTTCTCTCCGTCCCGAAATTCGAGCGCGTGCCCTTTTTATACCCCCGAGCATCGGGACTTCACTCAGTGACTCATGTTGTTGTGGGGTTTTAAGTTCGAAATGCGTCATGGGTTCGGCCGATGAGGCCGTAAGAATTTGACGACCCGGGCGGATTGTTTATGCTTTCTGCCAGGCGCTACGACTATTATTACGATATAATTTGAAGAAATTCGCAGTTCTTAGACGTCAACAATCAGGTGTTGGAACTAACTTTACCACTTTCTCAAAACAAAGGTCGCGATTGTTGCTTTTGCTAAGACATTCCATCGTCTTGTTTATCTGACCACAGAGCAACGGAAATATCAGGTGGAGAAATGAGTTTTTCTACTTCATTGCTTACTAATTATTTAATTCCCCTCCCAGAATCTCACATTTATAACCTTTATCTAATTGTCTAAATCCCAAATCTGGGACAAACAAAATAATCTTAATTTAGATGAAAAAATAGTGTGAGATCAGCCAGGACGTAGAATAAGCCTACGCCACTTAAGGCGCACGATTGCAAGATCGGCTCTCAACTTTATACAGGAGGGCTATAGTGTTTACAATTGATATAGACAGTAATGTCTAGATCTACGACAGGATTCCGTGACACCAGTTTGTCAATTAATCGATCTGCGGACAAACACGCGGGTAATTATTTTATAGATTTGATTCAAAGACATTCTTTAACAAATAAACAAGATTAAATTTAATTTAACATAAACCCAATAAAGTAGTACAATATATGACAATGAGAGACAATAAATACAATATCTAAACTAAGTCGAGAGAAGATATATATATGGACTTATATTTAACCGATATACGATCGAGAGAGAGAGCTTACAATATTGCTATTAAACATACAACCTGGTTTAGTTGTCTTTCGTCGTCTTCTCTGTAGGCAAAGGTACTTCCTTTATAAAGTTCTCAAACCTCATTTCCTGGGAGGTCGAAATGTGCACAAAATTAAAGTATATCT